TTTATATTTATATAACAATTATCTAAGTGCAGTGAACATTGTTTATGTCACCACCTTTCTAAGATGTCCATCTATGAAAACGATCAGTTTTTCTGAAAACATGCATAAATATTTCTATTAAACATTCTCTTTTTAAACAACTCTCGACCGCACCTCCGCCCCTCCACAACAGATCAAAATCGTCTGAGGAAAGGCTTACTATATTTTAAAACGTGCAATATTTATTATGTTTTAATCTCTAATTTTGCTTATAAGTCTTTAAATATGTTATATTGTTGGATTATTGCATAATTATTACATCATAGTATAAATTAAATAAATATAATGCAACTGTTTTTTCAAACTGAGCCAAAGCAAACAGGCTAGAATCTCAGTGTATTCTGTCTGCTGAAGGGCACGTTGCTAATTTGAATCTCTTGCTAGCATTCTGTGGTGTTCTGTTAATCTTGCCATTAGGCTTATTACGCTGACTTTACGTCAAATCCAGCTTGCGAATTATTATTATTACGCGCGTTGCAGTTAGGCTAACTTGCTTTTCTTAGTTTTAGTAAATACATTATCTTCGATTTAAGCTATAATTGTTAACTTTTGTAAGCACTAGTAGTGCCGTCTGTTAACTTTTATTTTATTAACGAGTGTAAAGGGCCCTTTTATTTTAGTCAAATAAAAGGGCCCTTTACACTCGTTTTGTGTCTCTGTGGTACTCATAAGACAGAGTGAGAATTCACTTATCGTCTTTAACGTTACATACATTGTATGTTAGCAAAGAATACGATATGTCACAAGCTGGTCAAGAGACTAAAAATTGCATCCGACTTGGATTAAACTCATCTGCAATAATAATGGCTGAAATCAGTGAAAATGACACCTGAATCACGTACATCAATAAAATTAAATCAAAATTTTACCAATAATCATATAAATCATTAATAAAATTTGGTTTAACTTATTGACAGTGGATTATTAACTATTCGGAATGATTTATTCAGAAGAATAATAAATTATTTAGAATAGTTAAAAATTCAAATTTTAATGGAAAAACTGTAAGTAAAGGTTTATTTAGAGGTAACTTCAAGCTCTTACTGAAATTAAATTTGAAGATTCGGCCTGGTATTGATGACAAATTATACCCAGTTTTTTGCAGGAAAATGGGACCTATTGAAAAAAAAAAAAAAATAATACTGGTAAAAGATATAATCCATGCGAATTTGAAGAAAAATATGACAGAACAGAAAAATGATAAATATAGGGATAGTGTCAAGAATACATTTTCACACATTTCGAAGCTGCTGAGAATGATAGTCACACAAAAAGCAGACCATTTAATTACAAAAATACTTAACACAGTTAGAGATTAAATTTGACCTATGTGAAAATTATCTTGCACTTAAGATAAAAAACTGATGTTTTTTCCCGCATGTGTAACTTGTGTAAGATGCAGTTTCCCTTAGAAAACTGTCCAGGAAGACACATTCTCCTTTAATAGACAGCCAAAGTGTTTTGCCATAACTAAGTAAAAAGTGAAAACATTTTCAATTTTCGAACAGAATGCATAGATGATGAGAATGACAAAATTCAATGGTATCAATATTATGCAGCTCTTTCAGGGAAAATTAAATAAACTAAATGAAATGAATAGAAGAAATTGCTTAAAATTCGCTGAATTCTTTGCTAAATATGATATGATGCGAATTATTTGCTAATTTTGATTACGGAAGTTCTTGTAGAAAGAGCTTACCAATAAAGTTGCTGCATTTGTTACTTTATTTTTGTAGACGAAGAAAATGAAATTTAATGTAATAAGGTGCGTTTTCTTTTCTCATTTAGAAGTTTATTAGTCCAGAGGGGCTTTGCCCCTGAAGGACTATTGTTTTCGCTTTGCGATTTTGCGTTGAATCACTGTAAATGTCCGTTTCACTTTTCAAACTGTTGCCACCAAATGTTAGAGTCCTGCATTATATTTGAAGAAATTAAATAATGAAAAATTTGCATAAATGTATGTATATTTTTCGCATTGTGATAAAACAACGATACATAGAGCCATCGAATTTTGAATGACGTGATCCTCCTACGAATATGGGCATGTGGAAGACCAAATTTGAAATTTGGAATTTGTTTTATTATCCATTTCATATTTTGTAAAACTTTAAAAAATTTTTGATTAACAAATTCAAGGATTTCAATTTGCATAAATGTATGAATATTTTCCGCTTTGTGATAAAACAACGGTACATAGAGCCATCGAATTTTGAATGACGTGATCCTCCTACGAATATGGGCATGTGGAAGACCAAATTTGAAATTTGGAATTTGTTTTATTATCCATTTCATATTTTGTAAAACTTTAAAAAATTTTTGATTAACAAATTCAAGGATTTCAAAGCGAGCAATGGCAACACTCTACGGGGGGGGGGGGAGGAAACCTTTTTATCTACAGCGCGCGGAACTGTGTATCAATAATTCTAAAGATATGCTCATTTTAAAATTATTTTGCGACATTGGTATTGAACTGAATTTTATGATTTAAGTACAAAGAACATGATATTTAATAAATAAAGGTAACACACAAAACGTTAAAAAAACGCCCCTTTGGACGTAATTTAAAATCTGAAACCTTTCAGATTTTTTTTAATAATTTCTTTGTCTATATATATTCATTTAAGTATTCAGTTTTTATACTAATTTTATTTTCCCTTAATGCTACTATATAGCCATTCGGCAATTTAACAATGACAATAGTTCTCTATAAAGAGCAGCCATTTCTAACTGCTTAGGAATCCATAATAGTGATTTCCAAATTTTTAAGCATTGTTTCAGTTTCTTCACTTGACGTGAGAAAACAAAAGACACGAAAATTATAATATATTCTATCCCTTACATTGATAAAATGTGAAAACTGGTGTATCTTGTTTCATATTTAATTTCAATCTTGCTACATTTCTGTGATACATATGGAAAAAACATTGATTTTTTTCGCTGCAACATTCGAACTGAGCGCTGGTTTTAGGAAAGCCACGCGTAGTTTCGTGAAATTACTGAACATTTTCGTTCCCGTCTGCGACAGCGAATTATGCTGGAGTTTTCATCAAAAAATGACCTGTGAGTGCATTTTTTCAAGTTACAGTGCAGTAATTAATGTAGTACTGAGGTGTTTCTATGATGACATGCATAATATATTATAGTACTTGCTTAACTAAACTGTAAATGGTTAATGTTTAGAAAAAAAAATTCAAAAATAAAATTAAGAGCTCAATTCGCGTCTTTCAAGACAGATACCGCTCCTGATAAAAAACTGACAGTCGACTCAATACCTTCCTCTCCATAACATAGCAAAGCATCTGCATACAATGAAGCACTCTTTATTAGCTTCTAAATGTTTCTTTAAGTGATATTTGATTTCTTTGTAGGATAAATGATATTTGCATTGAATAGAAACGGTAAACTGTCACATCCAAATAATGCTCTATTCATTTGCATAATTCGAATTCCTCATTGTCATCATTAAGATACCAGGAAAATAAATATTGCCTGTCCTCCTCTGCTATCCCTGTCATCAAAAAAGCTTTTCTCTGTCGCCGCAAAATCCGATTTTAAATTTCAAAAAGGATGTATAAGATATTCGGATTTAGGATTGGTGCTTTTTCTAAGCAATCGTTTAACGAGAGATTTTCTCATTCGCAGCTGCGGCATTATTACTATTAGGTTATTAAATACTATTAGGACTTTAATCTTTCATTGCTCGAAATGGCCATGAAATATCCCTTTTTCGTTTCTTCACACTTTCATATAATGTTATTTTTGTATCTGGTATTTAATTATCTCTATAAACTGTTTTCTCATAGAGTTTCCATTCGAACTCCTTTTGCTAAAACGACAATATTTTCCAAATTCTGCGGACACCTTTTCCACAACTAACGGGCTTCGTACTTCCCGTCTACACATTGCAAATCATCTTCCACCTGCTGAATAATTCATTTATCGCACTCACTCTTTTCCGACGCGCAATTAATAATTTCGGAACTTACGAACTTAAATACCATTAGGACTTTAATCTTTCATCGCTCGAAATGGACAAAGACAAAGTCTGTTCCGACAATTTTTCTTCCTCTATCGGAATAACTTATATAAACGCACCCGTCGAATTTTCATCGGATGAACTTTTCCTCTCATTCCCAATTCCCACTCTACCACTCAGTGCTCATCCAAATATGATTTCATATAACATTAAAGATTCAGTCTAATGATGCGTTTTTCAGTTAAAATAGAGTTTAAATAATCACGCCCAATTAAAACCTGCACCTCTGCTATGTTACTCTTACCACTGTCAGATAAATCAAATCCTCCCATATATAACTGATTTATGAGCTTTCTGGTTGTAAATCTCTGGTCTTGTCCTCGCTATCGTACTGGAACATACGGTTTCAATTTCAAGCAATGCACGCATAGACTGCTTATATTTTCTTAAACCCTAATTTTTTAAAATGAATAATTAATGTATTTTATTTGTGTTTTGTACCTCTATATATAAAAGAATATCAATTTTGGAATGGATAAATATCCTCATTTTGTGTAATTATTATTGATACCAATTAAAAAGCCCAATTAACTAGCTATTTAGTTAAATAATTAACTAGTATCTAGTAACTAAGTTACTATATAAAAATTAACTTGATATAAATTAACTAGATAATTATATAAACGAAATATCTAGGAACTAAGTTACTCGATATTTCGTTAGTATAGTTAGATATAGTAATTTTTTCAAATTTTGATGTATTCTCGGAAATGACAGTTAGGTTCTCGGGATTTCCCAGAAATACCCGAGAAGGAGAAGAACGGGAGGTCAGAAAGCCTAGCTATGACATGAATCTTTTGTCAAAAATACTGGTTTAAGATAGATAAAGCACATTTATAATACGTTAAAATATAGTATTATTATAAATATTAAAATATGTGTAAGTTTTTGAAGTTCAATTACATAGAATTAAATTTTTCTTTAGGAAACGGACGCTTCTGAATACACAAATGAAAACTGCAAATTGGACACTTCATTCCTAGACAAAGGAAGTTATAAACATTTATTTCCTTAGAGCACAAAAGTGAACCAGCAGCGAAACAATGCGTATACAAACTTTTCTTCCCAAGTGAATGACGAGTGCACGCAGAAAGCCTGATGCAATCAAGCAAGCTCTTTCTTTTTTGAAAGCTGTTTTAAAGTTGTCACAAAGTATATGAGGCCTCACCCTTCATTCGAAGATGTTCTTTAGACGGTCGTTGCTCTATTCCTTTTCACTTTCACGTTTTGAGAATGGAGAAAAGCACATGTTTATCCTCAGGAAGAAAGTCCAGCCTGACGTTCTTGAACCGAAAGGGCTTGAGAGTTTTCCTTCAGGACAAGACCAAGACCTGTTTCCTTTTTATCCACAAGGTTAACTGTACTTGCGAAATAGTAAACAGTTCGTTGTGGTCACAAAGGAATGGAGCTGAGCGTTCTTTTTTGAACGCAAAGAAAAGCACAAAGGTTAACCCATATTTTCGGGGTTGAAATGTTTACAAAGAACATTAAATAGCTGTCTGGTATTTGTAATGGAAAATACGGCAGTGTAATGTGCGCACGTGTTTGCAATTAATTAAAAGGGATGTTTTGAATGCTTTAGGGACGGGAACTCCAAGAAGAGCCTTAATTAATCCTTCGATGAATTGTTAGAATATATCCTTAATGAGACTCTTTTTGTTTAATATTAGAACTAGATTTCATTAAAAGGATCAAAAGTTTGCGAAAATAAAATATCAAAGTTAGGAACTTTTTAAAAGGTTGATTTACAAAGCATTCATAAATGATATGAATTTCATTTTACGTATATTTTACATTATTTTACTTCATATTCCGAATTTTAATATCCATATAAAATGAATACATACAAAATTAATAATGAAAATGATAGTAACTTGTAATTGTGCTGGCTTCTTGAAATCCTGTTGGATATATCATAGTTCTGAATATTATGAGGGATTTGCTTAAAACCAGGTGTACGTAGCGCAGTGCCAAATGAACTCACCCATCTAGAGGAAGGGGGAAGCGTTAAACTATTATTAAGAAATTTAATATTCTAACTAAATAGAGAGCATGTTCGAAAAGAAAATTGAGACAATGTACAAATAAAATAAATGAAGTTTACAAATGGTTCCCTAAAATAAGCTTTTACTTAAAATGCATAAAAATCATCTACAATCTTATATCATGAATAACAAATGCGTCCGGAGCCCTTGAGAGTTGACAACGATATCATTTACACATTTTTACACATACTTTTCAGCTTATACGTTTGATCATGCAATTCGATTCGTAGATTAATCGTTATTTTTGACGCCTGTGCTTTTATTATTCGCGTTATTATATTCGCGTAGATACATTTTGTAAAGATAGTTATGTAATCTCTTTTCTCCATTAAATTACATGATAAATTATTTTTCTCTTTTTATTTCGATAATTATTTTTACATAAAAGCTTATAACAAAAACAAAAACAAAAACAAAAAAACATTATTTACTTATTTTTTTCCCTTTTAAACACAATGACACGTTATCAATCAAATAGTTCAATTGAAAAATTATATTTGAACAATGAAAAATCTTTCTTTTACTTCTAAAATTTGTGTTACGTTAAATAATCGAAAAAATACAGCGATTTGGGAAGGGGAAGGAAATAAGAAATTACATTAAAAATATAGTATAAACTTCATTTAAGAGATTCTTTTCTATCTCTATACGATTGGGTAAACAGTAAAATTTTTAAAATTTTGTTTTTATTCATTAAACGGAGATGGTGTGAAAAATTATTTGAACTTTAAATTTTAAAAAGTAAGTTAAATTTTAAAACTGCATGATATTGTTCAGCTGTAAATACATACTGGAGCAGTAATCTAAAACTCGGCTTGAGGATCCGAATAAGGCCAATTAATTAACAGAAATCAAAATTTTACAACTTATACTATAAACTAAAAACATGCATATATAACGCGAATTTACTTTCATACACCTACATACAATAATTTTACTTGATTGTTAACCGAAATATACATAAAGAGCCCGGAACACCCGCAGTTGCGAAGGATTATGAACTTCAGAATAGCCGCCGTCATGCGTAACTATTAAAAAAAAAACTAGGCTGAATTTCTCATGGAAACGTTATTGTTGTACTTTTAAATTTTTGGAATCTTGCATGCACTGAAATTCTAATTCAGCAGCTCATAAATAACACAGCAAAAATCACAGCTGTAGTTCTTTTTAATGTTTAGAAATTTTCTATCGAATCGATGCTCTGCCATTACCTTCAGAATAAAGCAATGTAACTCATACTTCAAGTTCTTTGCTTCAAATGTAACTGTCCGTCAGTTAAGTCTTCATAACCAACCTTCATTGCCGCTACCGAAATGAATTTGATGAATGCTGTTATTTTAATATCGGAATTACAAAGCCGAAGAAGTTATCCCATGCCTATTAGAGAATCGCAAATGTCGGATTTCCTCAGTTTGCATACAGATATAGCGTTTTTACATTTTCCTACTTTTGGATATAAATATTTTCTCTTTTTTATGTTTACACTAATAAGCTGGTAGCGCAGCCAGCCGCATGAAGTAGTTATCATAAAGGAAAAATACATACTGATTTTAATCTGTTTAGCTAGTGTAATTCTTTAATTAATAATTAATAAGAGTCGATAATAACAGGCATAATAACAGAGATGGAGAACTGCTTTTATCGTTTTTAATTCGCTTAGTTTGTTATTCAACAACAGATAGATTCAATTTGAAAGAAGAATTAAATAACTTACGTTTTGAAGCATAGCCATAACACACTGGAGCATGCAAGATAAAAATATTTTATTTAGAGTAGTGGCAGTCAATATATAGAGATAAATTATGAATTCATACAGATTCTATATTATTTAATAATGGAATTTTACATCTAAAAAAGAAAGATTAATATAAACAATTAAGCTTTCAAAATTATTTTTTATTAGGTATTTTTTTTATTTAGTTGAAGAGATTTATTATATTCAGTTAAAGCAGGGTTTCTTAAACTGTAGGTCGCGAACCCCTTCGGGCTCGCGGGACCTGCAGCAGGGGTCTCCAATAGTTTTAGCAGTTTTGATATTTCTTTAACTTATTAGAATAATTTTACAATTACCAAATATTTTTACACAATGCATATGAAAATAAATAAAGGTAAGACAACACAAATAAAATAAAATAAAAAAAAAAAAACGTTTCTCCGCATCTCGTTTTATAATATAAACGTTCATTTTCCTTGCTTTGCACGTGACGCTGTCATTTCGTTTGTTACTTATTTACCATTTTCACATTGTTCTATGTCTTAAAATTAGAAATTAAGGTTAATGACCTGAAACTGTAATGGTATATTACAGTACAAGTGAAAAAACTGACAGTCTCACTCACGCGTGTGTCGGATTTGCGCAATACTTATGGGGGGATGGGGTTCCGCAAAATTTTTGTAAATATTATAGGGTCCTGCGGGTCGCAAAAAAATCTCAGTGATAAAAAGGGGTCGCTACTGAAAAAAGTTTAAGAAACCCTGAGTTAGAGGAACGAGTTGTTCATTTTATCTAAGAGAAGATGATAAATATTAGTCGATTACTATTATATGTAAAATTTCTTCGTTACTTAATGTAAAGGAATGTACACATCAGAAAGTATGAAAAAAAAAAAAAACCCTCCCTAGTCTCCCCCCCCCCCAAAAAAAATTCAAATTTTATGTCAAGCGGTGAAATATTTCTACATTATTTTGATATTTCCTATTTTTAGAACTTTAAAATGCAAAGATAATTTTGAGTGTTGCAGACTGTAATGTATACCTCTTCAGATTGCCAACTGATTACTATTATTTTCACTATCGTCAGCATTTCCTGTGTGGAAGATCCAAGTTTTGATTATCTTCAAAACATAATTCTTGTTAAATATTACTTGCTTTCTACATTAATTAAATATATACATATATATAAACATATCTGTAAACGGTTTTTTTAAAAAAATGTATTTTCCCGATTGGCAACAACAGGTTTTTTTTGGGGGGGGGAACGGTAATGTTTGACGGCAATGTTTCGGAATAAAGCAAGTATCTATTAATGTTTAAAACGGTAATGTTTGACGGAAATGTTTTTGAATAAAGGAAGTAATAGCTAACATATCTTAAAGGCTTAATTATTATCATTTATCTTTTTTTTGTTCGTTTTGAACTATAACACATTTTACACAAATTACACTAGTAAAATTTCATGATTCATTTGTTGCACGTCGGAGATTAATAATCGTCGAATAGGCCCAAATAATTAAACATTTATAATTTGTAATTATATATAGTACATAGAGAAAAATCCAAATTTTCCGTTATGTGTAAACCGACCAATTAACAAATGAAAAAGTGTTTTCTACCTTAGGACTGGCATCTGATTATTGGCATATAAAGTTAAATGAAAAAGGTACTGAGAAATTGGCGTTTACAACTAATTTAGATCTTTATGAATTTAATAGATTACCTTTTAGTTTAAAATTTTCCCAGCTTAGACTAATTCTAAATAAATATCAAATTCAGTTTGCCTTAAATTAATTTGATGACATAATAATATTTTCATAAAATTTTCAAGAATATCTAGAACATTTAAAAATAATATTTGACATACGTGTAAAAGAAAATTTCATACTTCATTCAAGCACTTCACATGAAGAAAGGGGCCCACCAGCGGCCGAGCGGTAAAGTCGCTGAACACTGGTAGTTCGGTCCGAGGTTCGAATCCCGCGAACGGGCCGGCTGCATGGGCGTTTTCGTGGTTTTCCCCATGTGTAACGTGTATACGAGCCAGTTTCCCCCTAGAAAGTCCTCCACGAAGGCATCCCTCCTCTTAGGCAGATAGCCCTAGTGTGCTTTGCCATAATTAAATATACCAAACACACACACCATATGAAGAAAGGCTTAAAGGAAAAACAACCTTTCGAAATTTAAAATTTGCTTCAATTTCAGACCTATTTTAACTTTATTTAATCCAAAATATCCCTGTCTTGTGTTTGGAGATGCATACCAAGAAGTTATTGGTGCAATTTTTAAAACAAGAGCACCTAGGTGGTAATTTACTTCCCATTGCTTTCCATTATCAAAAAATAAATGGAAGAAATTATGCAATTACTGAATTAGTGTACATTTTATTACTATTTATATGGTAACAATTTTACTGTACATGCGGTCCTAGTTTGGCTTAAGAATATGAAACATCCTACAGGCAGACTATTTTGATGGTCGGTTAAATTATCTATGTATGATTTTGATATAAAATTTAAAAAGGTTCAACTAATGTTGAAGCTGATATGCTATCTAAAAATATCATCTGTCAACATTTATGTGTTCATATTAATTTGTAATCGTTAGAAGAAATTACAGATAATCAAAACTTACACAATGTCTGCAACCCTACGTATAAGAAAACTAATGATGTATTAACTATAAAGAAGTGAGGACTATACAAAATTGTAATTCCGGTATCTCTTCGTACTAAATTACTCGAAAAAGCGCATGTTGAATTTGAGCATTGTCACCTGTCTGCTGGCAAATCAAATTTACTGATCGTACCAACGTAAGAAATTCTGCTGACGTGTAAGCATTACAGACAATAACAAAGATATAGCCCCAACTTATTCATTATTTTTTCTATTCAGTCGCAATCGCGCGTATAAGCTCAGTTCATATTTTATGTCCCTAAAACTAGAAACCGTTTGCAGCAAATATAACTGAAATAAATGTATTCGCGGACGGCTCAAAATTGCTTCGGAGTCCGTGAGATTATGACTACTGTGTAACAGTACAATTCTTTTAATCTCTTTTTGTTTTAAGGTACTATATCGTACACGTTTACTTAAGTAGTAAGTTTGATTTATTTTTAAACTTAATTTGTATCACTTTTCGTATAATTTGTCTTTCGTCCTGATAACTTTGTCACATAAATTCAAATATATATATTTTATGTAAAACTGCTGCGTAGATGATGGCTGGAGGGAAAATCGCAGCTGGCATGATGGTTAAAACATCATTTACCGGAATTACAGTTTTCAGTAGCCTGAATTTTTCTTCTGCCTGAATTTTCTTCAGTAGCCTGAATTTTTCGATTAATGTTAAAAGTAAGTTATCTAGTTCTTGATTCAACATTCTGGAATTACTTAAAATAAATGTCAGTCTAAAATATAATATTTCACTCAATGCGTTCGAATTACAATGTAGAGCCAATATAAATTTTTTTGCAGGGACTTCATATGGAAAATAGATATCTTTAGACTTCATATGGAATCATACCTTTAAGACTTCATATGGAAAATAAATAAAATTTGAGTTTTTGGGGGTTATTATTATTGTTCTTTATGAGTGTTTAAAAAAATATTCAGTAAGTGATATTTAGA